ACGGGCTTTGTCGACCACTTTGTAATCGCGTCGCTATCGCTATATTATCATAAACCAACTAGTATCGAGTGAAACTTGCAACAGTGACTAATGGCAGAAAGGAAGTAAGACAAAAGCAGTATATTGGCCAACGGAACAATGGCAGTGTCATACTCACTGTTCTCTATAATCAACTTGCCAAGAGTCCGAACGATTCAAGGACTGGATAATTGCAGAATTCCTCATCTGATCTTCTGTTTAGTTGAAATGGTCGAGAATAATTGAAACAAGTAAGACGTATTCTTACTATACCACAAATATAAATATATTCAAAACAAATATAAAATTTCATATAAAAAAAAGTGAACAACTTACTAGATACACCTAATATGTGAAATGTAAGTAAACCAATGCTTTCTCTAAAAGAATCATTTGAAGTAAGAGAATAATTGGATTTTATAAGCAGGAAAACAAAATTAAAACTAAATTAATAATAATTATTACATTTATCTAGAATCAGTTAAGAATTAAAAGTGAGAAGCGGTCTCGTTCCTTTGCCCATGGCGGTATTTCACTGATGCCGATCGATGTTCCCAATTGTTTTTCGGTAATCCGAGGTAAGGCGGAAAACACGAGGTGTTCCCCGGAGAGAGGCAAGGCGGAAACGCGGGAAAATCAATTTGTTCGAGGAAAAAGAGAAGAAGAGGAACAGTAGATTGATATTTACTCGAGTCTGAAATAGCGAATCCCGTGTCTTTTAAAAATCGCCCGGCTATTCCCCAAACACTCACGATCTTCCACAGGGAGTACTACTTTTCAAACTCTGGGCATTTACTCCAACTAAGTGACAGCAACCATTTTTCTGTACATATATTCTTTCAGTCTCAGATTTTTGTACATAGAAGAGAAGATCCAAATACAGTCGTGAGTTTAAGTATGAGCTAGTCGAATGTATAGGGTCATATTAGATGCTTCACCCCAGCGTGAATAGCGTGAAATTACGGTTCAAAAACAAAAGAAGCATATTTTAACTATACATTATAAATCTAGTATTATAAATCTATAGTAGAACTCTTCAACAGGTTCGGCAATAAGTCCTCAAGTAGACGTGCTAGCCCATATTTAGACCATCTTCCCTACTAATTATTATAACTGTATAAATTATATTATTAATAAAGTTAACCACTTAAACTTCAAACCGTATTAATGTCATATCTACCACCCCCGACCTAATCCTACCATTCCCTTCTCCCTTCCTCTCCACACATTAGAAAGAAAATTATTGGACCTAACCGGGTCGTAAACCTGCGGGAGCCGGTAAGCTCAGGTCCAATTCCTCAAATTCGGTTCATTCTTCATCATCTGAGAAACATTCCGCCCGCAATCCCGAAGAAAGAACCTCGTGGAAAGTTCCACCCGCGTAGAGTACTAAATAATTATCCTAATTCCTCTTAAGGTAACGGGCGGTTAGGCGAAACTACGACGGGGGCCTAGCAATTCGGGGTGGGGGATAAATTATCGCCACGGCATAATGGTTCCTGGCTAATTTACGGGGGCTAGAAATTAAAGTTTTTTGCGTACATTTGCGCCGATGCCTGAGTGCCGTAATAACTCGTCGTTCCTTATACTTTACTCCTCCCTGACTTTCTATTCTTTTCTACCCCCCTTCCATCGCACGTGCTCGTGCCACAGACTCTATCTTCCGGCATCTCTTCTCCGCTGTTCCGTCTTGGAACCACGCGAAATCCCCGCGGGCGAAATCCGATCCTTTGACCACACCGGAGGGGTATGGGGTTTGAAACTTTAACTGGAATCGTGGGGGTAGGGAGAGGAGAATTGGCGAAGGACGGAGGGAGGCGAAGCACGGCCAGGCTGGAGAAAGAGTGGAAGAGGAAGGATGAACTAATTGCAGTTTTGACTACTCGAGGAACTGGGCCCGGGTTACCCACCGTTAAATATTGCCATGAATGGAATATTTCATTAAGTGCGGCTTCGCGGAAGTTTCGTGCACCTGCGGGCAAGGTGAGTTCCGACCACCCCCCGGAAAGATGCTTTCGATATTCGGTCCGTCTAACTCGATTATCCTTCGGAGATGGTTCGAACGGAAATTGAGTTTTGTGTCTCATTCCTGGGGAAACTTGGCCGAGTTGTTCGATGAAAGAGATTTACGATCTTTACGGAGGTATACAACGCTTACCTTAGTATAGAGTAATAGGGTAAGTGACTCGAAGAGCTTGTTGTTGTTACTATTAATTATTGTTTTTCTTTTCACACCCTCTAATAAGTGTAATTTTTCCGAAACACTCAGAGAAAATTTCCTATGGAACAATTAAAAATTATTCAAATACCAAACAAACGAAATAAAAGGGTTCTTGCACCTGTCACGAAGCCTTCAATACTACAGTTTCAAAATTACTAATATGTACCTATTTACACATAAAAGGGAATCGTAACTTAACACAGGTGAGACTTCCTGACAGTTTCACTTGGACTGTCTGAAGACTCACGACCAAAATTATCCTGTTTAACATTAAACTACGAATTATAATATATATAAGAGTTTAAAGTAATAATGTTTTAATTCCTCCGAATAAAATCGGAGTTAGACTTCCTTAAAAGAAATCATTGTTTTTAAGTTATGTAAATATAATTAACCCTCCATAATAGGGACACCATTCGTAATTGGGTCACTTATCCTACATTGATTTAGATATCCTATATAAAGTTGTCTAAAAAATTACTGCTTACAAACGATGCTATCACCGGCCAAAGAAATTTCCTCCGAAGGAACACTGACCCACGGGCATCGACAACTCCACCCAACCGATTATAGAAATCGACCGAACCCACGATCACGATACCATCCGGAAGCTGTCGGTTTACGATACTGCCCATTGAAGCCCCCTGGACAGGGTAGATCGCGCCGAGGTATCGTCACGATACCGATAATCTATATAACTACCCTAACTTACGAAATAACCCGTCGCGATATCGAAGTGAAACAGTGACCAGGTGTGCTGGTCGAGTAACACGAATTACAAGCCCAGCGAAGCATTAAAACGGGGCTCGGACTGTTTCAAACCGAATCCAGAGCAGTCTCAGGGGTGTTCGATCGTCCGAATGTACGGGCTAGCAGCTCAGTTAGAGTCATGCTAATGAAACCCAAAATTCAGGTGACGTTCAACTGACCTTAACCCGTGCAAACCGACACGACGCGCACGGGGAGCACGTTGTTGTATTCGAAAGCAACGAGTAGGCGAGGGGGATATGGCGAATCGGACCTATGTGCACCGATGAGGCTCGTAGAAGGGGTACATAATGTGTCCAAACCCCGATCCTGTCTCTGGCAGACAGGACCGATTCGATAAGCTCTTAATCCATCGGCAATTAGTCCACGCGGGAGGCCCACCGCAACCCCTTCACCTGCTCCGCTTCCTAAAGCCCCGTAGCTAGTTCAACCCGTAAACGATCGCCGTCTCTGTCTATCTCCTCCAGCAGCCGTTTACCATTGTGCCCCGCTCTTTCTCGTCGGCTAATTCAACAGTTCCTCCTGCAACTGTATAATCAACCACGGCACCGGTGTGTGTGTGTGTGTGTGTGTGTGTGTGTGTGTGTGTATGCATGGGAGCGCGGTTGCAACTCGTGCACGATATTCACGGACCGGCGATTCGGACAATAACGGAAAATATACACCCCCCGAGCTAGTTTATGTTTAAGCAGTCTTTTTTCTACCTTTGATACGTGAAAACGTTTCGGGGAAACTTTCGCTGGTGGTGGGTAGAGTTTGTTATTAGAAATGTTTTTGGGAATTGTACTGGAATGTTTTTCTTTACTCTCTTGCAGTGGTTAAGAAAATATTGTGCTACTGGTGCTTGAATTACGTTGGGTCTGAATTGAAATTGAACGAAGGATATATATTTGTATAGCTAGATTACACTAAAGCTGTTGGAGACAAAGTAATTTAGAAATTTCTAGAATAAAAAAGGTACCTGAGGGTTAAACACTGGTTTCCGGTTAAATTAACCTGAACACTGCACCAAGGTTTTATAGAGGTTGGTTCTGTATAGTTTTCCGATGTAGTGAATATTTATGATGAGGCGGATAGCCGACAGTGTGTAAGTTTAATTGAAAAAGTTGAGAATTTTACATATCAGGCAACTGCGCCGTAGTTGAAGGGAGGTTAAAATGATTGTCTGATAGAAAAAAAGTTGTAAACGACCGTAAACTGTTCAAGACACTTTTATATATCGAATTTTGATAATAAATTTATAGGTGTTCTTGAACTATTTTCATTATTATACGCCCGATAGAATCATTCATGCTTGAATACGAACATAAGTTTTAAATTTTAGATATTTCACCCATCTCCGTGTTCTATTCTACGTACATTAAAATTTAAACTACCTACAGATGTTAATAAATCTATACACTATCTTACAAGTTTTATCGAAATTTTGGATTTTTGCTTTTGACGGACTTACCTCGATTGAAAGCAATAACACGATACATAAATTGTATCTTGTTACCAAATTTCATTTTGTTCTGTTCATGTTGAATAAAGACATCCACATATATCGAGATCAACTTTGAATCGTTTTTCACGCGAGACAGACACTCCGTTCTTTGAAAATCCGCGCTGCTGTGTCGGTCGTTCTTATTGCGAGAAATCTCAGTCGCCAGGGTGCAACCTGGTCAAAAACTGGTGCATCCAAGAAAAAAGAAACTACGAACAGAAAGAAAATAGCCGGGGAAAGGGGAGAGGGTGGAGCGAGATCGCAACGATATTCGGGTGATTCGTTTTAAAAGAAGTGTACGTGACATTCTGGCTCCTTATTTTCTGGGCGTTCGAAGGAGTTTCCGCGTCGAGAAAGAGATCCAAAGGGGAGGAGAAACCCGTGGGTGTGCGCGCCCGTACGAAGAAATAAAAGAAACGTCGGAGACTTCAAAAGAGCACAAGAGGGGAACAGCTACTCTGTTCTTTTGTCGTGAAGGAGAAGAAAGCATACTTCGAGAGAACTCACCGTGATACGTCCTCCTGTGAAACAGCTCGCGGCGTGGCCGCCCCGTGAAGAGCGAGAGAAGACGCGTGACGTGATTCTTGCGAGTACGGCAGGGTCGAGTTGTTCTCCAACGCCGACACAGAACCATTTTGCTTTCCTGTTTACGTGAGAAACAAACAAAACAAATACGGGCAATTTAGAAGTTTCCTTCACTCGAGTGGGGGATGAAGCCTTCGACCCGTGCCGAATCGCGAGAGTCAACCCGTTGGATATTCGACATTCTTTAAAGCAAACGGTGGATTCAACGAAATTGCAACCAAATAATGATGGAATTAACAGTTGTTGGTATTTGCAAGTGCGTAAGCTCTGTCCTTTTGGAAAATGGACGTGATACTGATAATGATTCTTGAATTCAATTTTGAGAAATATTTTTCTTGCTTGCTACCCTTGCAATAAAAATAGGGTATGTTATTATATTCTGCAAAGGGTTGACTCTCGTAGAATGGCAGAGTTATTTAAATAAAAGGTTATTGAATTTGCTAGGCAGCCTGTTTACTGCAATTAGTACGAGAATCAATAATTGACGTAATTTATTGGTTCTAATTAATCAATATATTGTACACAGTGTTTTCAAAAATAACTCAATACATCTCATTATCCAATATATGTATGCCATACCAAATAACATTCGGTTAACACGCAGATATCTCAAATTAATCCTCTCGGGGATATACGCGTAGATATTGATTTTCTATTGCAACAATGAAACTTATCTGTCCGCGTTTCTCCATCGCTTACGGTATGGAAGCGGATGATTATCTGATTGTACCGTTCGGATGCGTGAATAATTGCTTGATTTCTGGTTGGACCCCGTGAAACAATGGACAATACGAACTGCTCCCTGACAATTCCATAAACGTTCGTAGTATCTTTTGAAAACACTCTGTGTAAGCAATTTCTGCTTTTACTTTACAGTCTGCCTCCATCGCTTCGATGATGCAGTTGCATTTATTAATATTTCCTGCAAAGTAATCCCTATATTATCTTAATTAACGTATAGTGTCCACCAGTGATTCTCGATGGCGGGACAATTTAATTTTTCCCCGCTTCAAGTGTATCGGTAATGGAAACAATCATTTATCCGATTTTAGAATATAATTTTACCATCTTTTCCAGCAACAGTAAGCAGGGATGCGCTACAAAATCGTATGAATGGGGGAGTGGCTGAAGCCCTGGGAACTGGAGTACGGAAAGCAATGAAGACAGAAAAGAAGGATCAACGATCGTAAATAGAGCAAAGAGAGTTCCTCTATTGAACCTTCTCCTGTAAGTTCCCTCCTATGGATCCTTCTGGACCTTCGAACAACACTAACATAAACTATCTCTCTAACGAGAATCACTGTTGGTGTTCGTGTGCGCGCTCCCCCAAACTTTACAGGCGCTATCCAAATTAGACACACTGTTGTTCCGAGCAAAATTGAAACGAACATAATTTCGACGATGGAAGTCCTGCCCGTAATTAGACAACGATTCGAAGGCAAAGCCGCCCGGTTTTCGCGAATCTCGAGTTTCGCCGTCGTGCGATGGTATATAGATGGTACCAGCTACGGGAAATGAGACGGTTCGCGGTCTTCTAGCGACGCTAGAAGGAGTTTACGAGCACGACTTTACGACCACGATGAATAAGTTGCGCTCGATCGTCGGAACGGACAGAGGAAACCGGAGACGTCGCGGAAATCAAAAATTCATTTTCACCTGCGGTCTTGAGAATCCTATGTTTATATTCACAGCGGCAGACGCGGGAACTAATCGAATTGTGGTTCGTTTCAATTTCTTAAGAATGGTCGTGTATCAGTGATCTACTGATTTGTAAATGGAAATTGTGTTTCGTAGATACTCGTTGATTAATGAGATTAAATTTTAGTGTTTTTAGGGTCGTTGGAGTGGAAATAGTGATGATTGAAGTAGTACTCGTTACTATAGACCGTGCTATATATCGTAATGATAGAAACAAAAAATTGCCCGATGCTTTTATTGAGGTCCCTACAAACCTGCGGAGTTTAACCCTTTCGCTGTTTTAACCATATGTTATACGGGCTATGAGAAATGTATCGTTCTGTTTATTCCGGTCCATGTTTAGACTAGCTGTAGTGCCCCAAACTGTTGACTCTACTATTCATTATTTTTTACTTCATTAAAACAAAATTTGAATTCTCGAAACACCGAAGTTCCCTTGTAAGTGGTAACCGAGTGACAGTATATAGAATAACCATTCAAATATTTAATAAACGCGGATAAACAGTCGAAATAGAAAATATCATTTGGATTCAAGAAACACCCAAGGAAATTCTGTTTCAGATGAAATTTCATTTTCCAGGCATTAAATGTACAGATCTGCGACAATTCTCCAGCGATGCATATGTAATCCCCAGCGGCAACAGGAGCCGCTGAACGACGAAAGGGGTGAAATTTTAAAGCCCGAGACGGCTCTCGGTTCCGTGGCGACCAGAGAAAGAATTTCCTTCGCGGTCTGGGCCCGCGTCCGGTGGCACGAACAAAAGTAACGCCGACACTTTTCTGCGGTGCGTGAAATATTTATCGTTCCGGAAGGCAGCGTCATGAAAATTCGAGAAGAAAAGATCCTGAAAATGTCCCGAAACGGTCGGAGGGAGAGAGCATGCCACGAACCCGCGTGGACACAACTATTTACACGAAGGGTGAATAATATACAGGGTGTCCCATATAAATCGACCGACTCGAATATCTCCAAAACTGTTGACGATATTAAAAAATGTTTTGGAGAAAAACTTTTTTCTATGCGGACCTGTAGAGGTCATATGAAGGTCAACCTTATTTTTTAAAATGGAACCGTATATTTTTTACTGCATCAATTCGCCATAAGTGATTTAATACTTTATGTAGGGGCTAACGAGTAGCATCAAATACTGCACTAAAAAATATAAGATTCCATTTTAAAAAACAAAGTTCACCTTCATAAGACCTCTACGCATCCACGTAGAAAAAAGTTACTCGCATCAGAAAGTGTGATCTCTGATACCATTTAAATTTTGTCTGAAACATTTTTTAATATCGTCAATAGTTTCTGTGATATTCGACTGGGTCTATTTAAATGGGACACTCTGTATGTATGTGTGAATATGTGTGTATGTATTGGAGCAGTTAAAACGCGGCGAGAAGCTTACGTGGTTGCGGCGAGAGCGAATTGTCCGAGGCCATCGGGGGTGGTGGCGGGGGCACGATTCCGGTTTCCGGTTTCGCCACGAGAAGCACCACGCGATCCTGGGTCGCCTTCAGAGTCGCCACCGCTTCCTCGTGCGTCACATTTTCGAGGTTCTTGTCGCCCTGCTGGAATCAAAAGAATCCTCTTTTTATCTTTCCCCTGGGCGGTAATAAAGACTGCAGTACGAAGCACGTAACATCGGTGAATTCGAATCCCGACCCATACAGATAGTAAATCGGGCATTATATTCTTCTACCAGAAATGTTAGAATTTTCTATGATTTTAAATATCTATGAGCCAGACAAAACTGACGAGATTAGAAATTGCTGAAATATGACTTAGAAACGAAATTGTTAACTTTGGAAGATTCAGAAAAGTTAATTACCATTTGATGGAGTACTAATGATTGAAAATTCTATTAAATTAGGAATCATGTGTTCTCAAAAATATTACTGTATTTAATGGAAAGTACCCCCTCTTTTAAGCCTTAGCGGTCGTATTTATCCCAGACATGGGTAGACTGGTGACTGAGAGTAGACATACGACCGTAAAATGGTTAATTCCCCGTAAGTAAAAGACTCGGTCCAACCATTGCGAATTTTTATTGCTCCATAAATATGCAAACTGTCATCGAAATGTAACATTCGGTGAATAATAATAATGTTTCATTTGACTTTCACGACCGGTCAAAATGTCAAACAAATTTCTCCGTACAAGAATATAATCTTAATAAAGCTAAAATAACTAGGAATAATAGACATTTAATCGGATCACGTATACCAGACCTGTCTCGAAAGCGAAATATGTATTCTTACGACCGGTCTCGTCGCCTGAAATATTTCTCTTCATTTATTAACGCTATTCATTCATCTTAATTTCGTGACGTATTCCCTTTCACCGCGGCTGCGTCTCTATTTTCCCATTTTTCAACGGAGGAGGGAGAGGGGGGGGGAGGCGTAGAAAAGGGCACAAAAGCGATATAGACTAGGAAAACGATCCTGCGGTGCTGCGCGCGCGCGTGTCGATCGAGATTTACCGAGCAACGGTAATTGATTTCTCCCGTTCAATTTCCCCTATCAATCATTCTTCCTCCGCTCCTTATGGAACACTTCGAGATTGATTACAGAACAAATATTGCAAGGGTTTACCTGCTTCGTCTTTGTCTGTCGCCCCTGTTACACTCAATCGTCAGGATGACGCATTTCTTTCGGTGCACGCTGCTGCGTTTCACTTGAAAATTAAACAGTCAAATTCTAACTGTATAATTATCACCATTTGCTATGAATTACATCGTTCCGCAATAAACATCATTTATCAGACAGTTTCCGATTAAAATCCTATATTAATAGGTACCTACAAAGAGTTCGTTTAAAATTCAATGTAACGCAAAAGCGTTGTTACCATATCGATCGCTTCATCTGCCACAACTCTATAATTCACGGTAACAAACATCTCCTGTAAACGAAAGGGGCTAACATCGATCTTATACTGAATTAATCTTATACGGAATGTCTGATTTCTGTAAATGAAACTGACCTACTTCCGAGAATCAAAACCTCAACAATTATGGAACTCTGTGACAACGCGGTAAACACGAACGAAATTATCCAGGTCGGTCACAGAGAGGATCGGAAAAACTCGCGGGGGAAAAAAAAAATTTCATAATTCACAATGGGGTTCTCGTGCTGCGCAATAAACAAGAGGATGAATATTCGTGCAGTTGCGCAAACAACGGGAATAACACACTTTCGGCAGTGTTCCAATTTTTCGTTTAATTTTTTCAATTTTTGGTTCGTTGTTCGCTGGACGATTCTGCGATGCCCGAAAAAAAATTTGGTGGGGCTGGGGGCAGAGCGACAACGGCCGTGTCCTCCTGTGTGTATGGTAATTACCCGAGGGTGGTTGACACGCGGTGGAAAAAAGGAACAGCGAACCATCGGCAAAGTTTCCGGGGCGGTGTCATAAACAACTGACGAACTTCCTGCCATCGTTCGTTGTTCCTGAAGTGTATATATACGCCGACACGCGATCACGCGGAAAGTTAAATCGAGCCGCGTATACCACCGACTGGAGAGTGTCTCGCGAACTTTTAAATAAATCGTTCCACCCGAAAACGTCGATACAAGTTCCGATACTTTGCCGCGTCTTGATGCGCGAACCTATTTATTATAAGTTACGTCAATGTTTTAATAGACAGTCTACCGGTTATGAATGGATGAAAATGGCTGATTTATCGTTAATTTTTCTGGCATATGGATACATACTATGAATAAGCTTATGTGCACGGTGAAATTGATTGTTTACCACGAATCAGGTAAATGTGCTTTATATGCACAGTTTGTTGTCACTGTCTTTTTTTTTTAAACTATGAATATTTGAACGACGAAATGAATGTCAAAGGTAATGGAAAATCATTCGAGTGTTTCTCACGAAAAATATAATTTTGCAGACGTAAGATAAGCGAGAATCAATTTTTGCGAACAAAGACACATGTCTTTTCGATGAGAACCGTATTTATACTTATTGTTCCTACATCCTTGCAATTAAAATAAATTTCTGCCACAATAAAGGTCCGCACAAAATAGTTTAACACTGGAACTACCAAGCCCGTCAAAATGACGGAATTCAGATTTCTTATTTTATAATTACTGAAATCATAAAGGCGATTTCATTGGTATTTATGTCGACCTTTAATTCTGCATGTAATTTTACATTACACTACGCTATGCTATACTGCATTACATGTTACACAAATTGACATGAAATTCAATTTAGCATACAATCAACGTTGGTTATTCTGCTATTAATGTTATTGCGATAAATTACCCGCTTCTTTAAAAAAGAAAGAAACACACAATCCCTTTTCCATGTTTGTATAATCGTTTTCTATCCACGAATAAAAAAATACACGAGCTCTTAATGATATTGGAAATATGATTGCGTTTCTCTTTTATATCAAGAATTTGTAGCTTACGATTTCAATTATAACTTAGTTCTACAATCGCGATAAAAAAAAAGACTGTGGCAGAAAGAAGGACTCGAAGCTTTGAAGTCATCGGTCCGGGGGCGACGTTGAAACGTCCCTGTAATGATTTTCGCGCGTCTCAAATTGCGCCCAGGCACGGTCGACGTGGTTATAAATCAACCGAACCGCTTTAATCGTAGCTTTTCCGGAAAGTCGAGACTCGAGGGAAGGGTCGCGGGGGCGGAAGAAGAAAAGGGAGGCCGCCGAAGCGAAAAATCGCGCGGGAAGCTGTGAAACGACGAGGCCTCGCGCACCTGCAACCACAGCAACGAGGCTTCCGTCGCTGACGAGGAGCTATCAATTACTCGTCGCCATCAAAAGCCACTCTGATCTATTTTTTCGCGTCGCTCTCGACAGGTCCTACGTCCGCGGATCGTTGGAGGAACGAAGAATTTTTCGAAACGTGCACTGGAAACACCGAGGGTCCCTCAATTTTTCGTATTTTACAATTTACAAATCTACTGTCTCATATTTGCTGAAGCTTCGTTGTTTCACTCGTGATACATTATGCAATTTTCCTTTTATTTTCCTACGATTTTGTTTCGGATAGACTGAATCTTTTATCGGTAGGGTCTGTCGGATCTGGAACAGAATGGTTTCAACCCCAATTGCGAATATATATGAGTTCTGGTCTCTCCAAATAAAAGGTTATTTCTTTGCTTGTTTGGAACGAGCAGTTTCTCTGCACGAGAATTCGTCTAATATATGTATACTAGGGTTCCTTCATTTTCTCCTAGGTCCATGAAGGAACTATCGGAACCATCGATCAGATAAAAAATGCAAGAAGGGTGAACTAAATTTTCCAAACAGTTTGACCTCCAGAATGAACGTATGAAAATAAACCACTACATTTATGCATGACTAATCTACTGCCTCCGTACGAATGTACACATTACGTGTTTACTTCCATTGAAAGAAAAAATTTCGGTCATTTTTCGTTTTTCTTCGTTTTGCTACTTTATACTCGAAAGAGTTTCTTGGTCACTAGCGCACGTGATAATTATCAAAGAAGCAATTCCGACAACGACTTACTGTTCAAGTAAGTCGCTAAAAGAATAACTACTAAATTACGTTGAAACGAGTATAATTGTACCAGAACTCACCAGAGCGTTCCTGACAGCGACTAATTTGTCTCCAACAACAAGACGGCCGTCTACTTGAGCAGCGCCGCCCTCCATAATTTTCGTCACGTAGATTCCATTGTCACCGGGTATATGCTGATTGCCAATACCACCGGCGATACTGAAACCGAGTCCCTTGTTACCCTTAATTAGTTCGATTTCGATCAGCTGCGTGTGCCTTCGTCGTCGTACGTACTGAAAATTAATTGAGAAACACTCTTAGACAATCATCCTCGCAACACCGGCTAAAACAAGGTAAATTATGATATCCAGCACCTCATTTTCCCCTCGTATAATTTCACAAATAGTTCACGTTTGAATTCTGATTTTCAGGGATAACATATTAAGAACACGAAGAACACTTAATTAAAAGTTATGATTAATATATAGAGAAGATCAAATTAGTGAAATTTAAGTGAACAAAGATTTCATGCTCGTAAGGGTAGTTCAGTACTTCGAAATGAAATAAATAAATTAGTAACGTAGGAATGGTATTTTACTTTGCATACTTCAGAAATTAATGAAACAGATAAGGGTCCATCCTTGGAAGATATTAAAATTGAGGCCAGGATCACGGAGAAATAATCCAGGCCGTAAATGCTTTTATGCTTAGCTCATCCCTGTTTTGCAGGCACTCGAAAAGGGTTAATAATGCTGACGCGACCGCGTCCAAGAGTTTCAAATATCTCTCAACCTTTGAAACACAATATTTTCAGTTTGCAGCGACCAGCGTGCAACACCGCCGACATTGAGCCACTCGAAAATGTATTCGGGTCACATTTCACGCTGGTTTTATGAACCCAAAATTTGTCCATTGAAATGCTAACTCTTTTTGTACAAAGATTTTTAAAAGGCCTCCGATTCTGAATGTGTACACGGTACACAGGCTCAATGAAGCGTTATATGTATAATTAACGAGAAGGTAAGTCATTAATCCTTGCCCAATTTATGCATGTGTGTATAGACCATGTGTCCTGTAACTTCTTACTTTCTATCAATGAAACCGATGGAACACAAAGTTAATGGTCAAAAAATGAGGTAGATCAGCGAATGATTTTGAAAACACAATTTTTATCATATTGTTATAAGGGTCAATAGTTCAGAAGTGTCTGAAGTGTATCATGGGACACTCTGTATCACACAAATTATGGAAAAAAAAAACGTACATGATGCCCTAATAATACCCAAGTAATCGGTTAACAAGACAGAACAATACAAACTAGACAAGAACATAAGCAACGCTACGCAATAACAGTCGAGTGTATAAACTAGAGGCGGGAATGATCCCTTGAAATATCGTTTTAATTTCGGGTATCAAGATTCAGGCGATGAGATATCGTAGCGGCTAAAGAAACGCGAATGGCGAGCATTATTTCGCGGAGGAAACCGGTAATCTCGGTTTGCCGCAAGATATACAGCCAGCATTGTCGTCGTCCATGATTATCTTGTGTCGAGCTGCCAGATAATAATTGGACGTTCATGGCGTATATTCTTACCTTCCAAAGATGTTTTATTCGTCAGAAACGCGATTTAAATCTCGCATCGCGAGCTACGATTACGTGATCTCATTGAATATCGAATCTGATTTTTCTACGGAAGAAAAAATAAAGTACAGCACGATTTCAGCAATTAGCTGTTGAATCTTATTTAGAACACGCTTCTAACACGCCAAATTCAGACACGTGACAACTCTCAGACTCATTAACCATAAAGTATATTCTGACATCCGCAGAGAAATCCCAGCGAGACGATCACTCAAGCGACGTCGGTTGTAAGTCGTTAGGGTTGCGGGTAGTTCCCGAAGAGTAGTTTGTGTTTCCGGGTTGCCGGTTAATCTAATTTCCCGGGAGGAAGATGCTTGCTTTTACGACATCCCTTACCGATTTTAAGGGATATCGAATCGGATACCGACGATATTTAGGGTAGCCTAAATTTCTAATACCCTACTGTAAATAAATATTTATAATACTCAAGAAAATCCTACAGGCCTCACAGCTCTATAGTGTCTCCACGATCATCTTTCTTTTAATTTTCAACTCTTTTTTAACTTCTTCCCAACTTTCGTCTTTCTTTAAGTCCGAATAACAACTTCAAACTGTACAACGATCGTGTTTTACGCGGGTTATTTTTATTTTATCCAAATTAACTGGTACAAGTAAGCTACCCCAATTAACACGTTAACTGCCTGTTTACGCCACGCGATACGCGATGTTTATTTACAAATATAAGAAAATTTTGCAAGACATGTTATGAAGGATACACGAAACGATTTGGTAGAGAATGTTCTAAAAATACGACTACAGTAAATCCTCGATGAGTGTTCGAAGGCTCCTCAGCACCGACAAGGAGAAGTCCCCAGGTGTAACGCTGACTTTTTAATGACGTTTAGCACAGTGCTAAAGTTTGGAATTCTGAAGCCAATGATATTTGTTTCACTTAAATATGTCCATTACTTTATGAAATACTTACTGTTCAGTGTCGAGGAGCTTTCGAACACTTATCAACGATTGACTGTATTCTAAGAAAGTAATAACATTTTATAATAACCACGAAGGAAAATCACATGTCTGCCAGATATCCGTGATGGAAATGGAAAGTTTACTGTCGGCCGCCGACGACCGACACGGCACTTAAAAGTGTTGAACAGCGGATATAAACGACAGAATCGATGAAGAATACTCACTAGTTTAACCGTGTTTCCTGCCCGTTTGAGTGCGTCGACGGCTGCGGCGTGCGGTACGTCGACAACGGACACGTCGTTCACCTGTAGTATCGTGTCGTTAACACGGAGACGGCCGTCCGCGGACGCTGCACCGCCTGGTATAAGTTTTGTGATGTATATGGCGGTGTCGTTGCCAAAGTGAGGATTGTCTGTGCCCCCTGCGATACTAAACCCGAGGCCGGCACCGCCCCTCTCGAGGACGATCTCCTCGTACTCCCAGTCATCGTCTCCATTGACCTGGAACAAGAAATTATTTCCACGTTGAATAACGAGCCCACCTTCTGTTCACTGATTACGAACAGGGATAACAAGAAGATTGTAGAGAATAAAAATCCTTGAACCATAAATATGCAACAGATCTATGGAATTAGAATTAATATATGCTTCGAAATAACGAGTACTGCATGTACTCCGATTACATTGTCTAATAAATTAAAACTTTTTCTGATTTACAATATCTAGCGTGAGATCCCTGTAAGAATTACTCTGTCACCATCAGTTTATGAGAAACATAGGTTTTTGTAAAAACGTACGATTTTAGGTAAAAATGACGTATGTACTGCGTGAAAACTAAAATTACTTCCGGCATATATCACTGTATAGAGTTATTAAATTGGATGAAGAAACTGATGTATTCAGGACACTCATATTCTGGAGCAATTTTTACCATTTCAGAAACATATTTTATAGAAATTATTCATGATGCGATTGAAATCATCATCTCGAGCCATACTTACGCAATGCCTTCCTCATATGCACTACATTTAATGGAACTGGTACGTATGTTGTATGTATATTCACTTATCCAAACGTTTTAACAGAACTACCAGTAAATGCAGTTACAGTTCTTTACTGATCTCAACAAAAAGAACTCTTGTCGCGACTGTTCGTAGAACAGACAACGTTTGTTTAGTCGTACGTATGTACAAGGGATCTTACAGTCAATAGTCCAAATACAGACGAGTTATATTTAAGAGGAAGGTCTTGAGAAGACGAAAGCTCGATGAACACTGATCCTGTGGATTGGAATCAGCACGTAAACTCTAAACAGAGGAAACTACACTCGCAAACATAATTGCTTGATAGTTTGGTAGAACGAGAGTGAAAGGGGCTAATAACTACCCGAACATTTCTTGGGATACACGTAACCCCAAATCTACCTGTCCAACTTTGCGAGTATCAAACTATTACTCTATCGAGTTTACACGATTTGCCAAACTTCAAATGATCGAACGGATAAACTCTAAATACTGAATCGTACCTACTACTGAATCCATCGTTTGGAGTTCATTTTATTAAATATTCTAAATAAAACGAGTAAGAAATACCTGCAACGATCGATAATGTGAGGAAGAAATGAAGGGAATTTGAAAATCAGGGCTAAGAATGCAACGACGGTGCTACAGAATGCACGGATTACACTGCTAATTCGGTACGGGTCAGTTCATAATTACATGAGGGACTGAACGCGGCCCACAGAGTGAAGGAGTTAACTGGTTAATTGATTTTGAGACCCGCAGAGGAGTAGATTAGGTCGTGGCGAAGCTTGGATCGATGGTAGTGGGATATGGTCGTTATCGCGAGAATGGTGATACCGTGTAATGATGTTACAATATGTCGTGCTTGACCATGATATTACTACAAAGGATATTCAATTAGTCTGGAGAACTGTAAAACTGGCCTTCATTTCTATTCCTTCTGCGTGTTTTTACAGTAAATTCACCAAGACGATGACTTTCGTACGCTAAACTTGACAATAAATACTATTAATCTTTTGTCTAACAAGGTTATAGATTATTATTAGTCTTTTCAATACTTCCTGTTGTTCTATAATGTTTGTTAGGCTTTTACAATAAAAATTGTACATATCCCATTTTACGGCCTTTTAGCGTGGGTATTGTGAACTAACGGTAGTAAACTTCATTTGTGTCGTCAGTGTAGGTTGTATAGGTGGTGTAAGTAACTAGCAGGGAGGAGCACAATATGAGATTATTAGCGGTCTATTATATCTGGAGGATGATTTCGTTTAAGTCTTCTGTTGAGTATGCGAGAGGTGGTTTGTATAATGTCGGGATCTGGGTGTTTAAGGGAGCGAATGTAGTGTCTAATTGAAAGATCAAATATAGTGAGCATGTCCATATTTCGTATGTACAATTCCGTTGTTCGTTATCTGCTTAAAACTCACACATGGGGTTCAGGTCAATTCTGACTCAGGAGTCCATGAACCGTTCATGTTTATTTTCTTACTGAGACACTATAAGCTCGATTCTATGTATTATAGTAGGACAACTGCAAACTTCAATTCTCATTTGCAATGTTAAAGTTTCTTTCTACGATTAAACCGTGATTAAATTGACGATAAATTAATACTAAGAGTCTCGTTCAACTCTGCAGTTGTACGTAAATGTGATACATGAACTAGAAGATAAACATAAAATTTTATACATAATTCCCTCTTCAATTTTGCACACAATGAAAATTCAGCTATGGGTCAAAATGACCCTGCATTCGTCTGCTGTGTCCTCTCAGACCATTCGCCTTCCGAGGGTTAAAAACACTACGAAGTTTCCAAGTAATCCAATTACTTAACTCTAAGAAACGGTAAATCATTCAGACCTTGGTCGGCACCAATTCACAACCCAGAATATTGAATCCACCGGATATCGACTAAGAGCAGAAGGAGGAGGTGGGTGGGTGGAGACGCTTCAGGGTGGAAGCACGACACGAATTCCGCAACGCATTTCGCGTTCCGCACGGTATCGCGATGACCCGCTCCCGCGCAATCACGAATCCCACGACACATTTGATGCACGCGGTCGCATCAGTACATATTGCCTGCGGAACCGCGAATTAATCGTCCCGAATTACCATTCTATGGAGCCGATCCGGGGACAGATGGAACGCTGTAAGGGCCGTTCTCGGCGGTCCCTGTTACTCCCGGTAACGGCTCTCGATCTAGGTGCAACGTTGACATTACGATGCAATTATGGCGGGGAACTGCCGGTCGGTTAATCGACGATTAGCGACTGCGCGCACCGGTGAATGGAATCGTTAATTAATCGATGTTTGCGCCACCCCCCTCCTAGACACCGGCTCTGATTTTGTTCGCGAAACGGGGGGCCCTTTCCCCTGTACGTTTATCGTACGTGTCGCTCGTTGAATCGCGAGGATCGATCGTGGGAAGATCGTGTCGTACACCATTTTCGGCAGGAACGTAAATATCTGTAGCACTGAATTTATAACATAATCGAAATTGGAGACACGATTATTATACATGGCCAGACAGTAATAGACAAAATAAGGGAAAAAAACATAAAAAAAAAATTGGTTCATTTGAGGCTCTGTTTTTGGAGAGAATCGATTTTGAATATTTACTTCATACGTGCGCAGTTGAATCGGACACTTGGCTGGCGCGTCTGGTCATTGCATTCCGTTTCTACTTACTGCCATGACGAATATACGCGTTTCTCGTTAATTTTCAAACTCGACGTTCTCGAAAAACTAAACCGAGAATGACAAAATTTCATTCTATATTTTTCTTTAATTTGTTCATAAGGAATTGCGTGATGCCGGCTTTTAGATATATACAGTCTCGGAGCTGCAATTACGTCGAAAAGTGGATCGACATTGCAATTAAATCCATAATTTGAATACTTCTGTAACCTGTATGGTGTGCTTTTAGTGGGAGAAAAGCTCAAAGTTTCTGTTTCGATGTTGACATTGTAATCGTTCCAATTAATCGTGGAGAATATTAAACATACCAATCTGTCGCTCGTTCCATCAACAGTACGACAAGCTCCACAATAGGTTTTATACATCGAGCAATTCTGCACAACTCAACGTTACAATAAATCTCGATGTTTGCGTAACCCTCTAACAAAATAGCGTGTTTAGTCACCGAGTATATTATCTATGAAATACCGCGGCAAAAATGAACGAAAGCCAGGGCTGCCCGCGAAATGACAAATAGTAATTAGGAAGCGACACGCGATAGCCTGGAGTCGTTTGTGCGTTATCGGGCCTTTCAACGACCCGGTTGTGCGGCGGGAATTATGATAATCATAAAACTCACTGCACGCCCGTGGGGATATGCGAGCTCGTTATGCGACACGAATGCTGTACAAGATTCTCAATGAAAAAACCTGCTCGCGATGTTTATGCGACGTGGTTTATAGAACGAGGGAACTGATACTTTAATCTATCGTCAATCGTGTTTTATTATTTATAATGGCAGCGAAGAGCTTGTAATTCATAACAAAGAAGTGTTTTGGTTAACAGGAGCATTCGCATAAAGAACATGTAATCAGATAAAATCAATGCACAGCTGGAGCTCGATTAACCGGGGTTAAAAAATCCCTCTTTCACTTGTACGTGAAACACGATCAAAGTAAACTAAATGCAAGCAGATAGGTCTGACCATAACTATATTGTAAAAAGGAATGTATCTTCTGTCATATAAAGAGCTTATTTTCTATATACAGTAACTCACACATTCGTTCACAGACTTCTTAAACAACTTAATTAAGTGTCAAAACTTTTACGGAATTTCGATTCACATATTCTCCGTATCGTTATTTTTTATCGTCGTTTCGTGATAAATTGTTTTCCAATTTTGAAATAAAATTGGAATTTTGGTAAATAATTTGGTCAAGTGGAAGTGTCAGTATTTCATGAACAAACTTGTGGGTCACTGTAAAATACGTTCTCGGTAATTTCTCTCAAGGTCTCGACTATCTGCTGAGCCTCGATTTATCCGGGCTGCTTGTCTCCCGATTAAATCGGTTAATCGAGGTGCTACTTCATATAAATAGGTACATTTCGATATTTCCTCTTCAGGATCATCGATTACAAAGCTACAGAACAGTGATAACGAAGAATGATCGAAACGATTCAAACACGGAAATTATGTAATAGCGATACACGAAGATCGATGCCCGTTCGGAAGGTGCATAATGTAAACCGATTTACCATTTTATGCCTCCCGTTCGCCATGCTGGCTGTCATCGTGCGTGCCGTCCCCAAGTCGTTAACAACATTTTAAAACGCCGATAACGACATTAATGGCACACCGTCCGCTGACAGATCCCCGCGAGAACTCGTAATTTAAACTTTCGTTCACTGTTCACTGAGTTCACTCGTTTTGCCACGGCCGAATCGAATGTCGAGGACCAACGCTTTATCGGCATTCAAGCGTCATTATTTCGATCGCGCTGGCGCATCCCCGATTACGTGGAGTG